GTTGGTTATGTAATGACATTACAGTAACATTTCTGAGCCTTAGGAGAAAAGGGAAATTTTCCTTTGGCTTATCTGCTTTTGTTTGGGGTTTTTTCCCTGCCTCTGACCGGGCAGCAGCTCCGTCCTTCTAAGTCAGAGGAACAGCGAGGGCGGCCTGTGTTTGTACTGCTGCCCTGCCTTGGAGGAGATGAATCGCTATCAAGGAGTCCAAGTTGGTAAACAGTTTTAAGGTTAGCCTAAATATTTGCAGCCAATAATTAGTCTTTTCTTACTCGGGCAACTGGGGGAAGCTGAGCTGCTGCCAGCCTGCAGGGAACTGCTGACTCCTGCTGTCTAATGCTTTGTGGCTGCCTGAGGGTTGTATTGCACAATTTGAGAAGCCAACCCTGTGCTAAAGGTAAAAACCAGGTATGGGGTATGTTAGACACATGCGAAAGAAAATAGGCAGTGGGAGGGTAAAAAACAAAGGGGGGGTTAAGCAGAGCTGAAGTCAAGTGAGTCTGGCAGTGGAAAGGAGGTAAGAGCAGGAGAGGACAGAATCAGGGAGGATTTGGAGAACAAAAAGTAAATATAATGAACAAGGAGCTGCTAAGTCAGTGGAGGGAAAATAGCATGTGTTCACTTTCGCATAAGCGTACGGTGATGGAAAATTTAGGACCTCTCATATGCTCCACTGCTGTTGTGCTCCACTGTTTTGGAAACTTTGTTTATATGATTCCATCAGCTTGTGAACATATTGTAAGATTTGATATTATTTAAATAACATCACAGGTTGATTTGACATTTTTAAAAATCCTGATTATTTAGACCAGCGTTTAATAAAGTTCCAAGTCAAGGCATAGTATTAACTGGAATCAAAAGAGCGAAGGGGGATTTACCCCCCCCCCTTAATAATGTTTTCTAGTTGGGAGTCATGAATTAGAGATCAGAGCTTTCTGCAAAGCCGTCCTTTTTTTTTTTTCCCTGTCTTTGATTTTCTGTCTTTGCTTCCTTACAGAGTGCTTGAAAATTAGAATTAAGTTTGGGAAAATATGCTCCTCAACCAGAAAGCGAGTAATTGGGAGATAGTTGCAAATGGAGTAATTGATTCTGATACTTAGCAGATTTCCAAATACATCATCTGTTGGTGCTCTGGAGCACTTCATAGTTTGTTTTGTGTTGATTTGAATGTTATAGTTTAGTAGTAGTTAAACTACGAAGCCCTGAACAACAGGTGATGATACTGCTAGTGTCCAAATGGATTATTATTAAATGCGTGCAAAAAGTGGTCTGGAATTCCAGAGGCAGAGTGTGCTTTGTTTCAAGATTGTTCACTCGGGGTTATTACAGGACTAACAGTTTAAAAAATAGTAGGTCCATTTTGGGTGGATGGACAAAATTCCCATCGCCGTTAACAGGAACCGTGCCCTTTTTGCAGCAGTGATTAATTTGTTTTGATGTGACTTGTCGAAGGGGACAAACATTAAAAGATGCTCTAGTTGTGATTTGGTGTCTCATTGTCATCTTTAAATATTATAAATTTTTAGCGATAAGATTCTAAGTCAGGTGTGAAAAGAATTAAGTGGTTTGTAAAGTTTGTAAAGTACATTTGCAGATGAGAAAATCTCTTTCACTGGCCACGGGTTGAACACCATTTGTATTGCCTTTCCATCCCATCTTGTTTTACTCGTCGGTTGGTATGAGGTGATCGGTGCCTGCTGTGCAGCAAAAAGCACGTCAGGCGCTAAGCTGGTAGCTCCACTGAGATACCTTTCTTGAGTTTTGTCCCAGTGTACGCACAGCATCGCTGAGTGCGCTGGCACAGATAATAAAAGATAATATATATGTAATTCCCCATAAGATCACGACCATTATTTAGAACTGTAAGGAGTAACGGTGCTAACTGATTAGCTACGGGGTAGGTGAGTACTGCGGTAAAGAGAGCTCTGTATAGGCAATGAACCCTATTTTGCTGACTGTTAAGGAAACACTTGAACCCAGTAGAATAGCACTAGCTTACCAAACCAACCCACCCTGTAATGTAGCGGTCCTTACTGAAAACTGAAGCTCCAATGTCTTTGTTGTTGCAAAGAGCTAGTTTATGTAGATGGAAGCTGGTGATATGTGAATGATCATTATGCTGTGTCAAGTCTCATTTTAAAGACCGTAAGTATACCTTTTTAAAAGAAAAACAAACTACTTCACCAGTCTAGAGAGAAACATAAATCATGTATTTTTATCACCTCAAAAGACCGCTAGAAGATGAGCTCTAATATTTCAAATGCGACAAGCAATCTATACATATGAATCACAATTTGAGTTCCATTACAACTGAGCTGATATGTACCACTGTGTGCTTTATGGATTTTACTCTAACAATATTAAGTAAAAACCCAAAGCTTTTTGTGATGAATACCTAAGCTTTTACAAGAATTTGTAGAATTGTGGTCCAGAACAACAGCTTTAGCATTGCCCTACAGGCTTTAATAAGAAAATACTGTTGCCAGTTTTGACCTCTCAATATTATTCTCTGTAAAGGAAATGTGTGTATCAGTAGAAGGCTGCTACTGCAAAAGTAAAAGAAGATGTGAAATACTGAAAAGGTTTATGGAAAATGCACCACGTAAGATTGAGAAAAAGAGTTAAATAAATGAGCAAAGTTTGAAGAGGGGTATCTTTTGTTCCTTCTGCTTCCTTTGTTAGGCCCAGTCTTTTTCTTCCTGGACTCAAGGACTTCTGCAGAAACCCAGTGTCAGTCATACTCAATTCCTCTATTTATAGTCAAGTCATCACTTGAAGTCCTTAGTCTTCTTTTGAGAATTTCTCCCACAGCGATATTTTCATATAAGTTGTGAATTTTATTTTTATCTCTGGGTATTCTCATATGTTGTCTTACGGTAAAGGGGGCCTTGCTTGCAGTAAATCAAAGTTCCTTCACCTTTAAGACTTTTAATCCTCTCCCTTCCATCTGGGGGAAGAAAGAGGAGTGATGTCCAGCGAATTCAGTGAGGAAGATGGAGGTAGAGGGTGGCGCATAAGGTTAATTTTCAGGTGAATCGGTTGCTGTTTTGACATTCTCGCTTTCTTTTCAGACATCTTTTCATTCCTTTCCCTTTTATGCTAGAAAATTATTAGATATGCAAGAACAAAACTCCTCAAAGCTATGCTCCAAAAGCCTATTAAAAAGAGGCTGCAAGCAGAACAGTGTGAACACACGTCAACACCTGAGTGTTTCCCAAGTGGCTCCAGCACTCAGTGGTGTGATAACAAGACATGTGGGAGGATTTTTCTTGGCTTTTATCTTCCATATATTGGTGCTCCTGACTTTTTAAAATTCATTTCATCAAGTGGCACTGCAACAGAAACAACAGAAATGCAGGAACGAGATAGTTCAAGGTGTTTTCAGTGGTATACAAAGTCTTTTGCCTCCAGGCCATCATTTCTAATTCAGCCGAAGTTGGCAGCAGTCAGAAATCACTGCCAACTGACAGCTGTTTGGTGGCCAACACAAAGTGATTTAGCTAGTAGATCCTACTGGACAGATGTCCGTAGTATAGAAAGTGTGAGTAGAGCTGGCATGTGTTTCATTTTCAGAGGCTGGAAAATGTGGGTGTATTTCAGCTGCAGCTACTTTGGTTTAGGAAGGTTAAACAGGATACCCGCATGTAGGCAATCAAGAACGCAGCATGTGCAAAATTAACTTCTCCCCACACTTTTTGGGGTTAAATCCTGACGTTATGGTGCTAACCCCTTGTAGCACTTCCATTGTGTCTCCATAATAAGCCCTGTGTGGTGAGGGAGAAGGGAGACGGTAGCTTGCTCTCTACAGGTGGCTGTGCAGAGGGATGCGGTGGGAGACCACACTGTGGGGTGACCAACTCATCTGTACCCCACCGGCTGAGGAAGCTCTTCAGCTGTGTTGTCAATTAATACCTTTCCCAAGTGCGAGCAATCGATAACAAGGAGAAAGTAATAGGGGGAAAAAAAATTGGTCTGACTCATCTGTCTTTGTGTGGACATATGTAACGCTAGAATTAATCTTTTGAAAACCATGAATTACTTTATGTAAAATCTGTGCTACTAAGGGGAAAAATCTGTCCTGCTGAGAAAAAAAAAAAGAGAATTCTTCAGTGTAATACCTGGTTTTGTGGGGAAGGAAGGGGGAAGATTTTAACAGTTTACAATATCACAGAGCTTTGGGATATTTAAACAGGCAAGTAAATTGTAGGTTTGATTCACTGTTGTGAAAACAATTTTGAATAGTGGATTTGCAGCAGCAGTGGAGATTACTCAAGCAAACAGAGATACGGGGTCAAGTTTCTACTGCTCCTTGGTTATCTTTTTTTTCCAGTGGCGTGATGTAAAGCAGGCTTAGAATGGGTTTAGGTGACTGGCTTAATCTTCTGCTTGTGCGGGATGTGGAAGTGGCACAGGGCACTGTTCAGTAACTCCAGAAGTGTGTTTCAGGGACAGGGCATTGTCAGGGCACTTGGGTGAAGCTGGAGGGCTGGAATACTCTCCGATCAGCTCAGCGGTTGAATCTGCTATATTGCCCTGACAAACATTGCCATGTCGTATCTGTCCAGCACTGCAACTGATACTGTGCTGTGCAGAGTTACTATGCCCTCATGCTTTAGTTTACCAATGAGGCAGAGTTAGGATTTTCAGTGTTGCATACATCTGACGCTATTTTATGTGTTTGAAAACTCTGCATCAGTTTTGGTGTTTTTTTAACATTGTCATGGAAAACCCCCAAATGTATGTGTTACTTTTCCAGACTTAAAAAAATTCAGGGTTTTATGAAGAACAGTGGAAGGAACCCATTACTATGATATAAGAGTTTTAGCTCTGTTTTAAGGAATACTTTTCTGCTAAATTTGCCTTGTTCTTTAATGCTAGAGTTAAACTAGATTGCCTTTGGAGTTGTAAATGGAATTTATTTTCTCTTATTCTAATACTGTGTCATGTTATTCATTTTACTAAGCCTGACCGTAACTTTCCTCGGTGGTTCTTCCCTGCAGATATTGATGAGTGCGCTGCCAAGATGCATTATTGTCATGCCAATACTGTATGCGTTAACTTGCCTGGATCCTATCGTTGTGACTGTGTCATGGGATACGTCCGTGTGGATGATTTCTCCTGTACAGGTGAGCTCTCAGGTATACAGCGATAGTAGTGTTATACTCTGTGTTTTGTGTGTATTACTTAGCTTCTAATCAGTCCCTGTGCCGTACCAAATGGCACGTACTAGCGGCCCCTCTGCCGCCATAAAGTTCAGGCACAAGTGAGGTAGGTAAATGTGGTGTGAGGTACCTTTCCTATGTATGGGCCCTCTGGGATTAACCTGGAAGGTGGCTCAAGAAGCCCTGTGGTGTGCACACTGATGCCAGCCACGACACGGTCCCTTCACGCCCCGCGGCTGGCTTGCGTGCAAGGTGCGAAGGCTGAGATCAGATCACATGTGTAGTGAGAAGAAATAACATTTTATTACCTGTGGCTTGAAACTGGTCGGTGGATTGAAATGAGGAGTTATCCAGGAGGAGAATGTAATCTGTTTCTGGACACAGCTGAGACAAATATGTAAAAGCAAACCTGAAAATGTATGAAGTCCTCAAACCCAGTTATTATGAGGTGGTTTGGAAATTGTTGTTACTAATGCTGAGAATTAATGTCTCCAGGACTACGACACGTGTTATTTAGAAAAAGAGAACAAGTGGGATAGCATTAGACAATAAATCTAGTGATTGCTTTTTAATACCTGTCAGCAAAATGAGCTCTAAAAAATTCTTAGCAGTAAGTAGGTAGGTCTCATTTCCATGTAGAGAGTTTTAAGGGACCTTCTCTGGCAATCTTGGGGAAAAGTGTGAGAAGCTGCTGAAATGCTCAGCCCAGCTATACCTAGCTGGATAACATCTTTCAATCACAACGTTCCAGAAAGGCTGATCTCGGGATTATTTTGATGGTGCACCTGTCTGGCAAAGGAGGAAAATATCAGGCAGATTTATTGAAATGGAAAGAAGTCATCTTGACACAATACCATGTTTAGAATTGTGTTGGGTGAGCTATTTTCTCAAGTGGAAAGATGGCACAGGAGTATTCAATATGAGAATGATTTCCAGCCCAGAATAATTATGTTGTAATGCACATGTTGTCCTTAGGGAAGGTCATAGGAAATGTTGACTTTCACAATGACAGCATGTCTTGTAGCTAAGATTATGTAGTTTATAAAAACTGTAGGAAAGTCCTGCCCTACCTCTTGAGAGAGGCTGATGCTAAGTAGCTGTCAGGAAACTGATTTTTGCCCAGAGAGTCATTATTTCTATGTAATCTGTGTCTTTTGAGTAAACTTTTGAGTTTTTCTTGATCTTTTACAACCTGCCACATCAGAAGAGTTTCAGACCTTCGATATTGTTCTAAATGTGTGTACTGTGTGAGGTAGTGGCCTTCACAGTGATGGGGAAAGTGTTTTTGATAATCTGACGCTTGCTTTCCATATATGTGCTACTAATTTCCTAATGTTCCTTTCCTTCCAGCAAGGCACTATCATTAGGCCTGCAAATGATTTAGAAAGCAGTGTTATTTGTGATTTACAGAAAAAGTGTGAAGTAGTAGGACAAGTTGCTTGACAGTAATGGGTGAACATTCATTTCAAGTGCACGTGCAAAAAAAAAATCCAGAACGGGTATAAGAACAAAGTAATAAATGAGTGAAATAGTTATTTCTTGCAGGTTTATTATCTTGCTAAAAATGACTTCTTTTTTGACATCACAGTTAAAAAGCATAGCAAGTATGTAACATAGCTGAGGAGAAACTTGGTTCATTGCCTGTTATAGCTAGACTTAAATGTATGTTATAATAATAAATGTATTTAAATAAGTGTTATGCAATAGAAGCACGAATCCTGGTTTTGTATCTTGCATTATGTTTATACAGACTTTTCCTCTCACGAATCTTAAAAAAATAACAATAATAAAAAAAATCAGGCACCAAATACTTAACTAGTTCCTCCTCATGCTGGCACCAACGTACAGCAGGCAGAAGCAAAATAGATTGTAGCTATTACTCAGTTTTGAAAATTTATTCCTCTTTATTCAAACAAAATAAATGATCAATTATCATGTTATTGAGCCATGCATTTGGGGACAAATCTGAAAGCCTGAGATGGGTTGATGTTCTGATTACAGCTGAATTCTGTTTATGTGGGGTCAGGCTCTAATGGGTTCAAGACAAGGTTTAACAAGTTTTTAAGGCACGTGCACAGCATCGCATGTATTTTATACACTGTTCACCTAAAAGCAGAGTTGTTCTGTAGAGCAGGAGGTATCCTGTTTTGGGAAGTCTGAGTCTAATTCATCAAGGTACGAAGTCATCGTCTGCTGTCGAGCAGCTTCTGTGTGTGTCGCTGGGCAGGCCCGTGCTTGGTGGCCTTGGTGGCTGGCCCCTGTGCTCTGGCGGCTTTCCAAAAGTGGAAAGCAGTGGTATGTGGAAGCCGTAAATCAGAAACAATTTTGAAGCCCAGTGAAGTATTTCAATTTGATATTGAGGGGTTTACCTTTATAAAAAGAAAGGAAGGGAATATTTAAATGCTAGGTCAATTTGAATTGAGGAAAATTAAATTCATTTGAATATTGCTGAATTTTAAATATGCAGCTTCCAGAGTGTTTTCTTATAACTCTGCATCTTTCTCAAATGAAACTAATTTGTACTGTTTTGGTGTTGATGAAACTTTTTTTCCCCAAACAATTTTTGAATAATATTTCCCATTTCTGATGATGAGAACTGTGGAGTAGGAACTTCCCATGGTTAACAGTAAGAAGCTACTGTGTTGGAAGCTGTGCTGATTGCATAGAAAATGCAGTCACAGAGGCAGAGTGACGACAATAATATTCTGGATGAAGCCTACAATTCTATTAAATTCTGAACTACGATTTAAAATTAAGTAGTGTCTATTTTAATAAACAATATTCAGTCTCACATAGGCAAAAGATCCGGTGTGTTAAGGTTCATCCCATGGTATTTCATGACAGGTCGGTCAGCCTAGCAATAACTTTAACCTACGTTCACCAAGAAAGGTACATTAGCGTTTTTCTGCTCACCTGTTCCTAGAGCTTTGAGCTCTGAATGTTAATGAAGTTGTTGAGTGAAAGACACAGTTTTATTAAGAAAAGTTACCCTTGAATAGGAAGCTTCTTTCAGTCTCTTCCAGTGACACTGACAGATTGTTTATCTGTTCTCAGGTAAATCACCGTCTTGTCCATTCTGAAAATGGCAGCAAGATTTGCTGCTCCAGATGTTCTCATTTACTGGAATCTACTGATTTAAAGCATTTTATTGACTTCCACAGGTTTTTACCCTGCTTGCTTGTTGAAAAATAAGTTCTCTTGGGTTGCTTTCTTCTAACAGACCGGTTTGGGAGGTTGCTTCAAAAGTGCATTATTTAGTTTCATGCTCTTTGAAGCATTATAAATTACATAATAAAAATCTTGTAATTTGATTTTTGATGGGCTGCATCTGTTCTCCGGTATGATTTTGAAAATGAATTTGTATGATTTTTGAATTGTAGTTTGAAACTACAATATATAGTTTCTATGTCCCACTGCCATTCAGTCAAGTAAACAAATGCTTTTTCATCTTAATAGGCTATAAGTTATCTGTAATAACTATATATATCATGCTGATATGAAGAGGAAACAGTGTGGGTGGGTCTCATCTCTCTTCGCATAGTACTGGCATTTTCTGTGAAGACAATCGTGATGATCATGATAGAGATTCCTGGCCTTTAACATCTATGATAACCGTTTAGAAAAAAATCCCTCATTTTGCAGTGTTTTCCTTGGGGCTGCATGGGACGCTGAAAACTTGCTATGCACTAAAGCTTAAAAAAGACTTTTACAAACGAGACTGCCAAGAGATTTTTATTCCTCTATTTGCATGTATTACGGCCCTTTTGCAAAATGAAGAAACTTCCTTTGGACTTGAGAATGACTCGGCCCATTTTGGCCTAGGGACATGTTTTCAAGAAATAGTATGGAAAGTTATCTGGCCAGGCAACGTATGGCAGCAGCACATTCTGCCAAAATGCGGTGTGACCTATACGCACACATCCTCCTTTTTATGCACCAAGGTATGCTGGCAGATGTTTTTACTCCGTGAAAGGAATCTACCTCCCGATTTTTCTGTGGAGTTGTGCAGTTCTGCATGATGTTTGAATACCAGACTGTGCTTTTAGCCCTTTTTCAGTCCTCAGTTTGTGTGATAATGTTTTTTACCTTTGGCTTCGCTAAGCAATGAATCACTAAATTAATTATATGGTACTTGCAAAAAAGCAAGCCCTTATCTCAAACAGGAAGTATTTTCAAAATACGTCGTTCAGTATTTTAATTCTGTAGAAAAATTGATGTTATATAGAAATACGTTGTTTAGAATTTAAATGGTAGTCTCTAGTTTATATGCTAATTTGTTTTACGGTATGGGTAGAGAAGAGGGAGTAAGAAAACCTAATGATTTTGACAAGTTATCCCATAAGCCCCTTCACTTCTATCCCATGTGGTTTCTGGCGTGGCACTCAGTTTTGAATCTAATGCACCTTTCAGAACAATCCCTTCTGCAGCGTGTTATTAGAAAAGTTGTGCCTAAAGCATAGACAAAACATAGAGTTATGAGAAATCTCAATTTCAAGGGAAAAAAACCCAGCAGCCCCCTTCTGCTCTTCCCTTCTTCCCCTCTCCTATCTGTGAAAGGCAGCTCAACTGCAGAAATTTCCTGCTATGGTTAGAACAAACGCTCAAAATTGTTTGCTATCGCTAAAATTGATGCCTTTAGATTTTTGTTGCTGGAGTTTACCTGTCAGGTTCAAGGTGGTGTAGTTGACCCCATAATAATACTAATAATGCAGCAAGTTTCACGGTTGTGAAGTGGCAATCTCAAGGGGCAGGAGACTGACCTCTTATCCAGAACCGCTGTATGTGTTTGAGAAAGACCCAAATAGAAGCTTTTAGGCAGCCAATTGATAATACAGTCACTGTTTGAAAGACACTGCTGTTTCTGCAATCTAATCTACTGACCCTCTTTCCCACCTTTTCCTTTTCGGTGAACTAAATGAGCATTCAAGAAAGCAACATTAATATTTTTGGTGTGGCACTTGAAC